GATAAACAAGAAATAAGGTTGCTATACAGTCTATTATAATCACTATTTTAATCAATATATAATCTGATCCCTCATTTTGTGGCCACGGTAGTTTATATTTTCCAGAGAATGTAGCTAAATCTAAGACATGCCTATCTAGCTAATCAGTATTTCATTGATCAATTTTCTATGGCTTATCAACTCTTTGTAGGTTATTTAAAGGCAGAAGATAGTTTTAGTTTGTAAGAAAATATATATAATTTTCTTTTATAGATAATGGCTTAAGGATACAAGTCTTACTAATTAACCCATAGCTAGGGAGAGAAGAAGTGGATTGATACCTATGTCAAGGGTAGTTGCACATGTATGAATATGAAGCCAATGCAAATTAGAACTCTACTCTTCCTTGGCAGTTTTCAGTTTTTTTCAACAACAATATGGTGTATTTATCCCTTAGCCCTTGTGATATTATTTTTAGGAAATGTATCCAAATTCCTGGAATTGGCTGAAGTTTCATTGTTGAATACCAATTATAATCACTACGTTTTAGTATTTTCTTTCTTCCTACATTAGAGCATCAAAGACAAAGTTCCTGCCACAAAAGCTAGTAGACTTGTACAATTCGAAATTGCAATTAAAGAGAATTGTTACCTAGAAGTGATGTTATTGTTTCCAATTCTGATGAAAGAAATTTTGACTATTTTAATTTAAGTATCATTTAAATAAAACCTCTAATAATTACCATCTAGGTACTAACAAGGCTCAATGGTACTTCAGTGATCAAAGAACCAATGTTTCAATGCTATGTGGCCATGAGCCTATATATAATAGGATATGGGGTAGCTACTGCCCGAGGAGGATTGACAGTATGAATTATCAGATCTACATGAGGTAGTCTCCTGTTTTTTCTCAGATTAAAAATACATGTTTTTAAGAACTAGTTTTATTCAATTGCATCTAGAGAAACAATAAGATGTAAAAAATGAATTAAATAAATGAAGTTAGTATTTGAAAATGGATTTAAACAAATAACTAGACTAATTTCTTGACATTCTTGCTACACCTTGCCACCAATTTGGACTTTAGGAGTTAACAGACCTGAGCTAGATGGTATGCTTGATTTAAAGAATTAATTCTGCAAAATGATGGAAATGAAGTCACATTTGAAATCCTATCGAGCCAACTTGGCAGGGTTTTTAAAGTAGCCAATGTGTGGGTGGTGGCTTGATGAGAAATTGGAAAGCTGAGTTTTTGGATTCCAGTTGTTATATTCACTTATGCACAAATATGCTTGAGAAAGATATGAATCTGTTTCTGTCCCTTAACCATGGGTTAAATAGTAGGACTTGTATCTGGAAAACTTGTCTCTAAAAATTTAATGCAACAAAAACTTATAATCCAAAATATTTCAGTTTTAAAATATTGATAATCTGAAAGACAAATCAATTATAAAAATTCTAAAGAAAATTTAGACCACAAAGTACCCTGGTTATGTTTCATATAACATTGGAGATCATACATGAACTGGCGTTTCAAACTTAAGCAATGCTGAGGCTGGTCATATGACTGCTTGAAAATACAAGGTGCTGTAAACTTGAATGTATGGGTGGTAAATGGATAATGGCTCCGAATTGTTAATTGGAGAGCCAAGTTTTAATTGAGGTTGGGTTTGTTATATTCACTTATGTGAAAATACTCATGAGAAAGGTATGAGTCCACTTTTTCTCCCCTCCTACTATTACTACTTTTACTAATTAGTAAAACTTGTATAACTAAATCATTATCTCAATAAATGATAAAAAAATAATAAAAATTGTTACAAATCTAAAATTACTTTCTGGTTTTAAATAACCAGCAAAGGGTTGATAATCTGTAGACAACAAAGCCATTAACAAAGTACTGTAAATAAATTAAGTTTGAGTTTTACATGTCATTTTTTTTTCTTTCCTTTTCATGATTTTAGTTACAGTTGAATCCTTGTCGGTTCAATCCTGTACAAATCTATAGTGAATATAGGGCCATTATTAACATGTAATTGGCATCTCTTGGAAAATTCCAGCTAACAAGGAGGAGTATCAAGTATCCCAATATCTAATTCTCTAAATTATGTAAGCAAGAGCATATTAACAAAATGAATTTATTCAGTAATTTTGAGGCTAGGAGGTAGAATAAAGAGAAATCAGTTTATAAGTCAAAGCTGTGTAGCCTGCTGACTCATAAAATATATATCGTAATCAAATGAATTCTAACTATAAACAAGATGAAAAAAAACCTAAAAAATACAATAATATCATAGGTAATAATATATTCCCAACTGATCCCAGTAAAAAAAAAAAAAAATTAAAAGTAATTATATATTATATTAAATTTAATGCAATCAAGCTAATCGTATGCAATAACTCTTCTCCGTTGACTAGTATTTTGTAAAAGACTAACATTGTACATCAGTTTACATGTCCTTTGGGAGATTGTATCTTGATAACTTACTAAGATGTCTTACACTTCATTTATTAGATACAAGTTCTGTTGCATAAAATTTAAAGAAACATTCTTGTCCACCTTTGCAATACAGGAACATATTTGTTGAAAATATACTAAACAAGAAAAATAATAACTTAATTCTCAAAGTCCTTTACATCAAAATCGACCAACCAACACTCAAAAATATTTATTACAAATATAGCAACAATAAAAGTGCATATAACATTTAATGCCATTGTCTATCAATTTGCAGTCTACTCTCTTATATTGCAATAAATTCCATTGTGACAATGGGTAAATTAGAAATTTTAAAGTACAAAGCACGTTTCTGTGTGTTTGTTTTTAAATCATAATGGTATGCAGATTTTATCGCAGTTAGCATAAGTTTCTTTTTAAATGAACCCCAGAAGATGGCCTGTGAAAAGATTGAAAGTTGTCAAGTTAACAAAAACTATGGTGCCTTCCTTGATGAATTTCACCTTAACGTCAAGAAACTGACTATAAAACTGGACAGGACTAATATGAAAATAAGTAGACACAATGTCTGTCTTATTCAATGAAACATTTTTTTTAAATTTATATATCCCCCCCCCCCCCGGTATAGTTGCACCTAAGAACATTTAGTTTAAAACACTTTTGTGATTCTTGATAAACTGTAAAAGTAACAACCTTACTAATTTTTTTTTTTTTTTTAATGTTCTTTATCAATTCCTTAATTTTCATTCCATAATGGCATATTTGAAAGAATAATTTTTTTTTTCTTCTTTTTTTTAGGATGCTGATGGCTGGAGTCATGTGAGTCTTGAGTTTTGCCCAACATCTTATGCCATTTTTGTCAATGGCAACATGTGTTCAAGGTCACCATTGAAAGGTTAGTCTGCTTAGGTTAAAATGACTTTAAAATCTTTTAAGACCAATATTACATGAAAGATCTGCAGAAACATTTGCACTTTTGGGAATATCTGCATTCAATTAATTGTGGTTTATGGATGTGAGAATACATCTTTATAATTTCTCTATCTCCCTTCTCTTTCTTTTCTTTTTTCTTCTCCTCCCCCTCTCTCCTTTTTAACCAATTTTTCTTTCCTTTTTCCTCTTTAACAGGTTCCATTGATATAACCAACTGTGATTTAGTGTTTGGTCAGAACTTTTATACAAGCAGTTCAGAAGTTCGTACAGTTCCATTTATGGGTTTCGTGGACAATGTAAGTTCTTGAATCCATCTTTTTGTTAAATGTTGCATATTGCTTTTGAGCCAGATAATCAACTGGATAAGTCTTTTTGTTCATTACTACCATGTTACTAGTAGGCCCCTTGAATTTTTAAATTAATAATTCCATGCAAATTGACCATAAAATAGTTATAGAAATTGCCCATTGCATTGTTAAATATTTGAGCTTAAAATGTTACAATAACAATTCATAAATATGAAAGCAGGTCATGATTGAAAATTGATAAGTTTTCCACTTCATAGAAGCCAACATTAAACACAAATGTTATTACTTACTTTTGCTTCCTGAAACCAAATGGCATGCTCATTATTTTCAAGGTATTGTATATGCTAACTGAGAAGAAGTCATTATTTTCATGTCCTATTTCTACATTGTCTAAGACTCCTTTTTATAATTTTCAGGTTAACATCACACGAGGTTGCGCATGCATTAATCAACCAATGTTGCCATTTGATATTGAACCCTTGAGCCTGTAAACTCCAATTAAGGGAAAAAAAAAAAAAGGGGATTGGGGGGGGGGGGTTGAACTAAATTCAAACAAATAAAACCTCTTTACCTTTGGTAGAGAACAATTTCTTTTAATGCTTCAAGATTTTAAGTCTTGGTTTGCTTAAAGCAAAAAGCATTTTCATTCTTTTCTTCCTTAATCACCATGATGGTTCCAACTGATGCCGTTTTGAAATCAGTAGAAACCGGAGTAATCCATGGAATGATAATTTTTGCTTGGAATATTCTGGAACACATGCTTTTGGAACACATGCTTTTTTTAGCTTCCAAATTATTCAACTCCTTTCAATTTCAGTACGTATGAGTTTGAAGCTATTATTTGGTGTATCTATCTTTTTAATTTGTATAGATACCATTTTTCTGCAATAAGGCATCATTTATGTATAAAGGTCATTGTTTTTATTATTAAAAAGCATCTGTATATATCACTTGGTGTGTGAGTTTTTTTTTTGTATTTGGTCTCAGATTTTGAAACATACCAGAGTTCACATTCTTGTTGTCATATGTAAAATACAGTTAAGAAACTCTACCCTAATCCTCAAGTACCAATGAGTTGAAAAGTAGAACACTGGTAACCAGTGTAATGAAAGACATGACTGTCCAAATTGTATGTCACACATGGCTAGAAAAAAAAAAAAAAAAAAAATATATATATTTAAAGACTTTATTAGTAAAATCTACATTAGTTTGTAAATTGGTCAATTTTTTGTTTCTCTTGTCCTGCTTCCTCTTTCATGGCATCCAAGAGTGGCTGTTGACTCATGAAAAATTGCCTCATCTTTTGGCAATGAATATTGATAC